TTAATTGGGGAAAAGACAGTCTCTTTAACAAATGGTGCTGGCATAACTGGATACCATCTGCAAAAAACTGAATCAAATATTTTTCTATCTCTGCCAGCCAAGTGAGTGTTCTCACCTCCACCCACAGGTGCCCTGATTTATCCACTTGGTTATTCTCTCTCCTGAGAACAGGACCAAGTACATAATTTGCGAAGCCCAGTGAAAAACGAAAATGTGGAGCCCTTTTTCAAAAATTAAGAATTTCCAGATGGCCACAGCAGAGCATTAAACCTAGCATGGACCATTCTAAGCATAAGATCCTTCAAGGAAAGAGCCCTGTGAACCCGCACAGGTTGCTGGCCCATGAAACCAACCCTAACAGGGAGGCAGTGGTGGTTAAGAGCACAAGTTTTAGAATCCTGTAGGCTTGGTTTCGAGTCTTAACTCTGGAAGTTACTTTTCTGGAGGGAGAAGTATATGATGAGGATACAGGAGTTTATTAGATCATTAGGAGACATTAGACTGATGGTTCTTGGGAGCAGAAACCATCTCAGTATCCCACTTAAGTGCCAACAACAGTGCTTTGCATTTAATTTTTTTTATTGAGATATTCATATACCATAACATTTATCCTTTCAAAGTCTATAAGTCAGTGGTTTTTAGTCTATTCGCAAAGCTGTGCAGCCATCACTACTATGCTATCTAATTTCATCATCCCAAAAAGAAATCCCGTAACCCGTTAGCAGTCACTTCTCATTCCCTCTTCCGCCAGTCCCAGGCAACCACTAACCTATTTTTTGTCTCAATGGATTTGCCAGTTCTGGACATTTCATATAAATGGAATCATCCAATATGTGGACTTCTGTGCCTGACTTCTTTCACTTAGCATAATGTTTTCAAGCTTTGTCCACATTGTGACATTTATCAGTACTCCATTCCTTTTTATGGGCTGAATAATATTCCAGTGTGTGGATATACTACGTTTTTGTTTATCCACTGATTTATTGATAGACATTTAGATTATTTCCACTTTTTGGCATTACGAATAGTGTTGCTATGAACATTTGTGTACAAGTTTTTGTGTGAACATATGTTTTAATTCTCTTGGTAGTGGATTCTAGGAATGGTAACTCTAGGCTTGACTTTGTGGGGACTTACTGAACAGTGGCTGCACCATTTCTTTTTCTCTTTGATACCAAAATCAGGAACACCCTAGAATTTATTAAATTATATAAGAAGAAAGCACAGATATAAGCATATTATTGTGTGGAAACAATTCTTTTACTCTGATCTGATTTCATTGGTGTACACAAACAATTTCCAGTAAAGTATTAGAATAAGCATGTCACAAGTCATTCTTTTTCTTTAATACTATATTGTGTTTTAGGTGAAAGTCTACACAGCAAATTAGGTTCCTATTTAACGAGTTTTATACAAATTCTTTTGTGACATTGGTTACAATTTTCACAATGTGTCAGTATTCTCATTATTTCCATTCTGTTCGATCTGTTTCCATTGATCCAACTTCCTTGTCTCTTCTTGCCTTATCTTTGCTTTTGGGTAAATGGTGACCATTTGGTCTCATATAGTTGATTGTTCAAGGGAGCACATTAGACATGGGTGAACCATTTTACATTCTCACCAGCGTTACAATTTCTCCACATCATTGTCAACACTCGTTATCTTCCTTTTTGAAAAATAGTCATCCTATTAGATGTGAAGAGGTATCTCATTGTAGTTTTGATTTGCATTTCCCTAATAAATGATGATGTTGAGTATCTCTTTGTGTGCTTATTGGCCGTTTGTATATCTTTTTTGGAGAAGTGTCTATTCGAGTCCTTTGTCCATTATTAAATTAGGTTGTCTTTTTTACTGTTGAGTTGTAATAGTTTTAAAATATATTCTGGTTGCTAGACCCTTATCAGATATATGATTTGCAAGTATTTTCTCTTCTTCTTTTTTTTTTAAATTGTGCTTTAGGTGAAAGTTTACAGAGCAAATTAGTTAATACACAAATTGTTTTGTGACATTGGTTGCCAACCTCGTGATGTGTCAACATTCTCCTCTTCTCCACCCCGGGTTCTCTGTTTCCATTCATCCAGTTTTCCTCTCCCTTCCTGTCTTCTCGTCTTTGCTTTTGAGCTGGCGTGCCCATTTAGTCTTATATACATGGTTGAACGACGAAGCACGTTCCTCATGTGTGTTATTGTCTGTTTTATAGGCCCGTCTAATCTTTGGCTGAAGGATGAACTTCAGGAGTGACTTCAGTACTGAGTTAAAAGGGTGTCTAGGGGCTATACTCTCTGGATTTCTCCAGTCTCTGTCAGACTAGTAAGTCTGGTCTTTTTTTGTGAATTTGAATTTTGTTCTACATTTTTCTCCTGCTCTGTCTGGGACCCTCTACTGTGATCTCTGTCAGAGCAGTTAGTGTATTTTCTCTCATTCTGTGGATTGTCTTTTCACTTTCTTGATAGTGTCTTTTGAAGCACAAAAGTTTTTTATTTTGATGAACTCAATTTATCTATTTTTTTCTTTTGTTGCTTGTGCTTTTGATGTTATATCTAAGAAACCACTGCCTAATCTAATGTCATGAAGGTTTAGCTCTTACATTTAGATTTCTGGTTCATTTTTGTATATGGTATTAAGAGGTTGTTGTTGTTGTTAGGTGCCTTCGAATCAATTTTCAACTCATAGCAACCCCATGTGACAAGAGTAGACCTTCCCCATAGGATTCTTCTAGGCTATAATCTTTATGCGGGAGGCCTGGTGGCACAGTGGTTAAGAGCTCAGCTGCTAACCAAAAGGTTGACAGTTCGATTCTACCAGCTGCTCCTTGGAAATCCTATGGAGCAGTTTTACTCTGTCCTATAGGGTTGTTATGAGTTGGGATCAACTCAAAGGCAACAGGTTTGGTTTTTGGTTTTTGGAATCTTTATGGGAGCAGATCGCCAGGCCTTTCTCCCAAGGAGACAATCAGTGGGTTTGAACCATCAATTTTGATTAGCAGCCAAGTGCTTAAGGGTTTGCATCACCAGGGCTCCTTATGGTATGAGGTACAGAGCATATAATTTTAATTCCCACTAAGCTTCTTAATAATCGTATGACCTTGGGTAAATTCTTTAACTTCTCTAAGTTTCATTTTTCTCATTTGCAAAGTGAATAACAAAATAGTACCTAAATCATAAGGTTATTGTAAAGATAAAGAGAAAACGCACCCAAATAACTGCTCAATAAACGTGGTAGCTATATTATTGTTATAATATGAACAACTAAATGGATGATTTCATAGTGGAGGTGCTAGAAAGATGGGCAGCATTTCTGAGAGAGTAGTTTGAATGGGGGTGGGGAAGTTTGCTTCATCTACCTGGGTAGCAATCCCACCTGATGGCAGGCTTTTGTTGTTAGTTGCCGAGGAGTCCATTCTAACTCAAGGTGATCCCATGTGTTAAAGAACTGCTCCATAGAGTTTTCTTGGCTGTAATCTTAACAGAAGCAAATCGCAATGATCGCCCTACCGCTGGGTGGGTTCGAACCGCAACCTTCATGCTAAGAGTCGAGTGCAAATCGTTTGCGCCACCTAGGGACTACGATCATCTTTTTAAAAAACAACAACAACAACAACAAAAAAACCCCTTGCCAGTGAGTCGATTCTGACTCATAGCGACCCTGTAGGACAGAGTAGAACTGCCCTATAGGGCTTCCAAGAAGCAGCTGGTGGATTTGAACCGCTAACCTTTTGGTTAGCAGCCAAGATCTTAACCACTGCGCCACGATCATCTCTTGGTAAAATCTCGAATTCCCGGGCCCCATCCCAAGTCTACTAAAAGAAGCTTCCCGAGTGCAGTGCCCCAGAACCTGCATTTTTATCAACTTCTCCGGAGGCATACTTAAATCCTCAGCTCAGGGCAGTAGTGAGAGTGAGGGTGGTCGCGCCTGCAGCACCGCCTCCGGCCTGCGGAGGGTACCCGAGGGACCGGGGCGGTGACGGCGGCTGCGCGGATCCGTCTCCACACCGCCCCACTCAGCTGACAGCTCTGAGGACTGCAGAGTGGCGTGCGGGGTGAGGCTAGCGTCGCTAGGCCTTGCCGGCGAGTGGCGGTGAGGGGGCCCGGGGCAAGGGCGGCGGGCGGAACCCCTGGGCCCGGCGCGGCGGGGCGACCGGAAGGTACGATAGGGACCGTGCTCCGGGCGCGCGACGCTGGGCATGGCGGCCGGGCGGGGATTGCTCAGAGGGCCTCAGTCCCCCTAAACCGGGACGGGGTGCCTCCAGCCCAGCCCAGCTAAGACCCCCCGGGGTGCTGAGAGGAGGAAGGGGAAGGTCCAGGTCCTGCTTCTTCGGGACGCCCCAGGCCGGCCCACACCTCCCTTGCCCGCACAGCGCCCTCTGTGTGCCAAGCGTTGGGGCAGATCGCGAGGTTGGGCCTGCCCCGGGTGGTGAGTGAGTCGCATAAACAACGACTCAGCATGCCGGGTGGCGAGCGAGCTAACCGCGGAGCCAGGGTTGACCCCAGAGCTGGAGTCCTCACCCTGTGACCTGGAAGAATAAGCAGGATTTTCCCATGCCGGAGGGGGACCTGGCAGGGAGGGGGCTTCCTTCTCTGGCGTAGCGGTTTCCAGTTTGCCAAAATGAATATTAAATTTGAATTATGTCTTGACTGATCGTGCCTGGATTTATTCTTGTTTCTGGTTTACAGATGAAGAAACAGAGTGGTTTGAATTCAGATTTAGTTATATATTAACTGTGTGACCTTGGACTAGAAAGAGACCTAAACTGTTATTTTTCTTATCTGTGTAATGAAGATAGTAATAGGATTTGCTTCATGTGGTTGTGGGAGAATGAGTTAATGCATTTAAAGGGCTTAGCACAGTGCCTGACACAGGTTAAGAGCTCAGTGTTACAGTTCTTACTGTAATTGTGACCACTGACTCTACTTCTTGCTTCTAGTGGGATTTGGCAGAGCAGGGACTGAGTTCTATGCTTCTGGTCCTCCATTCCAGCACACAGCATTTCACTCTAACTCAATTATAATTTTTTCTAGTGTCTAAGGCAAAACAATGCTGGATGTTGAGAACAATATACAGATGCAAAAGATTTGGTTGTTGCTTTTGAAGAACAGAGAGGCAATGCAAGTTCATAAACTACTGTAATGCAAGGTGGGATGTGACAGTGTCATAGGAAAGCTACAGTAAGAAAGGTTGGCTGGATTTTTGAGAAAGACATGGTTGTTGTTGTTAGGTGCTGTTGAGTCGGTTCCAACTCGTAGCGACCCTGCGTACAACAGAACGAAACACTACCTGGTCCTGCGCCATCCATACAATCCTTGCTATGTTTGAGCACATTGTTGCAGCCACTGTCAGTCCATCTTGTTGAGGGTCTTCCTCTTTTTCCGCTGACCCTGTACTTTACCAAGCATGATGTCCTTCTCCAGGGCCTTATCCCTCGTGATAACATGTCCAAAGTACATTAGATGAACTCTCACCATCCTCCCTTCTAAGGAGCATTCTGGCTGTACTTCTTCCAAGACAGATTTGTTCTTTCTTCTGACAGTCCATGGTATATTCAATATTCTTCGCCAGCACCATAATTCAAATGCATCATTTCTTCTTCAATGTCCGTTATTCATTGTGCAGCTTTTGCATGCATATGAGGCAATTGAAAATACCATGACTTGGGTCAGGTGCACTTTAGTCCTCAAAATGACATCTTTGCTTTTTAACACTTTAAAGAGGACTTTTGCAGCAGATCTGCCCAACACAATACATCATTTGATTTTTTGACTGCTGCTTCCATGGGTGTCGATCGTGGATCCAAGCAAAACGAAATCCTTGAAAACTTCAATCTTTTTTCTCTGTTTGTCATGATGTTATTTTTTGGTTCAGTTGTAAGGATTTTTGTTTTCTTTATGTTGAGGTGTTATCCATACTGAAGACTGTCGTCTTTGATCTTCATCAGTAAGTACTTCAAATCCTCTTGGCTTTCAGTAAGCAAGGTTGTGTCATCTGCATATCGCAGCTTGTTAATGAATCTTCATCCAATACCGATGCTGCATTCTTCATATAGTCCAGTTTCTTGGATTATTTGCTCAGCATATAGATTGAATAAGTACGGTGGAAGATTTACAACACTGACACACACCTTTCCTGATTTTAAACTAGGTAGTGTCCTCTTGTTCTATTCGAATGACTGCCTCTTGGTTTACATACAGGTTCTGCATGAGCACAATTAAGTGTTCCAGAATTCCTGTTTTCACAGTGTTATCCATAATTTGTTATGATCCACACAGTCGGATGCCTTTGCATAGTCAATAAAACCAGGTAAACATCTTTCTGATGTTCTCTGCTTTCAGCCAAGATCCATCTGATATCGGCAATGATATATGTCATTCCACTTCCTCTTCTGAATCCGGCTTGAGTTTCTGGCTGTTCCCTGTCAATGTACTGCTGCAGCTGTTTTTGAATTATCTTCAGCAAAATTGTACTTGTGTGTGATACTAATGATATTGTTCGATAATTTCTGCATTCATTGGATCACCTTTCTTTGGAATGGGCACATTATGGATCTCTTCCAGCCAGTTGGCTAGATAGCTTTCTTCCAAATTTCTTGTCATAGATGAGCGAGCGCTTCCAAGGTTGCATCCATTTGTTGAAACATCTCAATTGGTATTCTGTCAATTCCAGGAACCTTGTTTTTTTGCCAGTGCCTTCAGTGCAGCTTGGACTTCTTCCTTCAGTACCATTGGTTCTGGATCATATGCTACCTCTGAAATGGTTGAACGTCGACCAATTCTTTTTGGTACAGTGGCTGTGTATTCTTACCATCTTCTTTTGATGCTTCCTGCATCGTTCAGTATTTTGCCCACAGAATACTTCCATATTGCAACTTGAGGCTTGAATTTTTTCCCTCAGTTTTTTCAGCTTGAGAAATGCTGAACGTGTTCTTCCCTTTTGGTTTTCTAACTCCAGGTCTTTGCACAATTCATTATAATATTTTACTTTGTCTTCTCGAGCCACCTTTTGAAATCTTCTGTTCAGCTTTTTTACTTCATCTACCTTTTGCTTAAGCTATTCTACATTCAAGAGCAAGTTTCAGAGTCTCTTCTGACATCCCTTTTGGTCTTTTATTTCTTTTCTGTCTTTTTAATGACCTTTTGCTTTCTTCACGTAAAATAATCCTTGATGTCATCCCACAACTTGTCTGGTCTTCGGTCATTAGTGTTCATTGCGTCAAGTCTGTTCCTGAGATGGTCTCTATAAATTGAAGTGGGATATACTCAAGGTCATACTTTGGCTCTTATAGACTCGTTTTAATTTTCTTCAGCTTCAACATGAATTTGCATATAAGCAATTGATGGTCTATTCCGCAATTGGCCCCTGGCCTTGTTCTAACTGATGATAGAGAGCTTCTCCATCGTCTCTTTCCACAGATGTAGTTGATTTGATTCCTGTATATTCCATCTGGTGAGGTCCACGTTGTATAGTCACAGTTCATGTTGTTGAGAAAAGGTACTTGCGAGGAGTAGGTCGTTGGTCTTGCAAAATTCCATCATGTGACCTCCAGCATTGTTTCCATCACCAAGGCCATATTTCCCAATTACTGATCCTTCTTTTTTTTCCCAACTTTCTCATTCCAATCACCAGTAATTATCAGTGCATCTTGATTGCATGTTCCATCAATTTCAGACTGCAGAAGTTGGTAAAAATCTTCAATTTCTTCATCTTTGGCATTAGTGGTTGGTGCATAAATTTGAATAATAGTTGTATTAACAGGTCTTTCTTGTAGGTGTGTGGATATTATCCTATGTTGTACTTCAGGATAGATCTTGACACATTCTTTTTTGACAGTGAATGCGACACTGTTCCTCTTCAGTTTGTCATTGCCAGCATAGTAGACCGTATGATTGATTCAAAATGGCCAATACCATCTATTTCAGCTCACTGATGCCTAGGATATCAATCTTTAAGCGTTCCATTTAATTTTTGACAACTTCCAATTCTCCTTGATTCATACTTGGAACATTCCATGTCCAGTTGAAAAGTGGTACATAGGAGGGCTTTAGAGGTAGGCCTTGAAAACTGGGTGGATACAATCAGGTAGAAGGAAATACAAGTCATTCTCCTGAATTAAGGGACTAGTGCTTGGTGGGGTAGGTCATGAGGAGCTGAAGGGAAACACTACTTGGAGCAGAAATTCTCAACCCTGGCTGTGTATTAGAATCACCTGGAGGGCTTGGAAAGCTGTTGATGCCTAAGGCCAGCCCCAGAGATTCTGATTTAATTGGTCTGGGGTGAGGCCTGAGTTTTAGGATTTTTTTTTTAATACTCTCTTTTATTTTTGGTGAAAATGCACAACAAAACAGGTTCCCATTCAACAATTTCGACACATATTGTTCAGTGACTGGTTACATTCTTCACATTGTGTCATCGTTCTCATTATTTCCATTCTAGTTGTTCTATTCCCATTAACTTAGTCTCACTGTCCCCCAACCTTCTCATCTATGCTTTAGTATAACTGTTGTCCATTTGGTCTCATATAGATAACTTTTTAAAAGAGCACAGTACTCAAGGGTGACATTCTTTACTTTTTGAGCTAATCTACTATTTAGTTAAAAGGTGACTTCAGGGAATAGTTTTGGTTCAAGGTTTAAAGAGTGTCTTAGGGCAGTAGTCTCAGGAATTCTTCCAGTCTCAGTGTGTCCAGTAAGTCTGGATTCTTTTGAGAATTTGAAATTCTGTTCCGTATTTTTCTCTCTTTCTATCAGGATCCATCTCTTTTGACCCCAATCAGAACATTTGGTAGTGGTAGCTGGGCACCATCCAGTTCCCCTGGTTTCAAGGCAGAGGAGGCTGTGGTTCGTGGAGACAATTATTCCTGTAGTCCATTTCCTTCTTTCTCTTTTGCTTAAGATGAATAGATACCAATAGTTGTATCTTAGCTTGCTGCTCATAAGCTTCCAAGACCCCAGACACTACTCACCAAACTAGGATGTAGAACATAAACTTTATGAACTATAGATGCCAGTTGACTGAATTGTCAGTATTGAGATTTTTAAAAGAAGCTCCTTGGGAGATTCTGTGTGCAAATAGAAATGCAAATAGAGAATACTGGATACAAATGGAGAACACTGACCTAAAACCAAAAAACTTTATAAATTCATCTCTCACTCTATTTGTAAATTTTAATAGGAAGAAACAAAAAGCTGAATCACATTATCATCATGTACTATCACCTGGTAAAATTGTTTTAAGATTAAATAAGGTAACATGAAAGGGTCTAATACAGTACATAGTAGGTGTTCAGTAAATGTAAGTTGATTCTGAATCTCATTCTTAGCTTATTTGGGAGTCACATTTGAGAGTCTCGTTTTAAAATTATGATTTCATATATTTTTGCATATAATTTCAGGGTGTTCATAGGACTCTCTATAACCTGTCTGTAGACCACCTCCCTAAAAAGATGTTTGTCATGGGGCATGGTGCCCTGTCCTCTCATACGACCTTGGTGTTCATCCTCAGCTCCTCCCATGGCTGAGGGCAGTCAGATAAAAAGGCCTGTGTCATTGCTGGGGGCGTACAGATGCCCATTTAACCACATGGCTGTGCTCAGTTAAGCAGTTTTAGGGGAGTAATATGCAGCTGTAGGTTAGACTTGAGTATGTGTTGGGATGTGTTTCACATTAATGGTGATATTTGGAATTCAGTACTTAAGTTTGGAGAAAGTCCTAATACCTTTTTTGTATTTCTTTTCTACAGATGGCAGAATCTCCATAGTATATCTAGTATGAGTGCCACATCTGCATCTCTCATCCAACTTCAGCAGTTTCAGCTCCACTGACTAAAGAATAAATAGAATTTGTGTGAATTCCTAACTCTCTGAATTGAAATATAGACTGCGGTATTAATATCCTTTTCTTCTTTTTTGTTAACAGGTACTAACTGACCTCAAATAGAACCTCAAATAGAACATGCTGCTGTTTCTTAGATAGGGGTTCGGCTCAAGCAGAACCGTTATCATCTGCTTGGGAAAATTTTTTTTTTTTAAATGGAATCATTTTAAATGAATTTATTTAAATTTTGTAGTGGCACCTTTTATAATGTGAAAAACCATGTCCTAACTTTTCAGTTTTGTACATTTCAATTTTTAAAATTTTAGTTGAGAGGGAGCATATTTGCGGATATAATCATAGTCCAGTATTTTAATTGACAATAGTTATTTTTTTATTAATTTTCATAGATTCGCATTGCATATTTTTTCACACTTAAATTCTCTAAAATTGTGCTGCATCTTGCAGTCACTGCAATTTAAAAAAAAGCATTGATTCACACTTCCATTTTAGTATATTTTCATTCTTAGTGTTATCTAAAATAATGGTAAATCTTATAATTAATGGTTTCTTAGATTTGACAAAATCTGGTATTATGTTAAAAAATTGATGTTGTTTTGCTGCATGCTCAGTTATCTTGCTTTCTTATGTACTGTCTGTTCCTGAAACATCCCCTAGAACAGGGTATTCTCAACGGTTTTGCTTCCCAAGGGACATTTGGCAGTGTATGGAGACAGTTTTGATCATCACAACTCGGGGAAGGTGCTACTAACATCTAGTGGGTAGAGGGGCCAGGGATGCTGCTAAACATCCTATAACGCACAGGACAGCTCCCTACAACAAAGAATTATTTGGCACAAAATGTCAGTAGTGCAGAGATTGAGAAACTCCGCTACAGAGAGTTCTGTGGGTTTAAAAAATTCATTTATTTTTAAGAAGTGTATCAAATATACTTTGACTCCATTTGTGAACAAGGTACTTTGCTAGGTTCTATGGAGAAATCAAAGTAATTTGTGATTTGTCCTTTTTCAAAAACAATTTAAAATAGTTGCTTTTCCCCCCTAAATCAGTCATAAAATACCTAGTTGATGAAAGCCAACAATTAGAAGCACCACCAACATTTTTTGATAAAGGCTGTTGCTATTGAAAGCTAGTGGGATGCTAGATCTATGCCTGTCACTTTTAGTTTAGCAAGAAAGTGAGAATATTAATTAATCCTTTGCAGTTATTTGTGAGGAACTTTGCCTTTTCTATTCTTACCTGATTTGAATGATTGTCTTCAGTTCCTCAGAAAATTAAATGTCGTCAGAGGACCGAGAAGCTCAGGAGGATGAATTGCTGGCCTTGGCGAGTATTTATGATGGAGATGAATTTAGAAAAGCAGAGTCTGTCCAAGGTGGAGAAACCAGGATTTATTTGGATTTGCCACAAAATTTCAAGATATTTGTGAGCGGTTAGTCACAGTATTCTAACATTTTTTTTTCCCGTAAATAAAGATTATTCTCAATTTCTCAATGTACCCTAAACTATTTATTATCTTGTGTTTATAGGCATTAGTAATAGCTGATAGTATTGTAGATTTAATGCATGTTTCTGTCTTTGTTGAAAATTGGAATGGGGTAAACAGTTTTCAATTTGATTCCTTCTTTTGGACCACTGCTTATTTCTTACATTCTAATCTTCCTCTAACTAGCAGCTTATCAGCCATGAGTCACTGGCTGTTAAATAGGGATAATCAAAGAGTAGATAAAATAATGTATGTGAAAACACTTGGAAAACTTTAAAGTACCATGGTGGTTATTACACTGCTTGGTTTCCAGAATAATTTCAACTACCATCCACATGTGACACATAATGTTACTCTATGACCTTTGCTTCAGAAAAAAACAAAACTGCTGCTTTTGATACAGACATTCACAGAAGACCTTGATGCACATTTTCTCAAAATGTTCCTACTATAAAGCCATTGAGTAAAGAATGTAGTGTGATAATTTAAATGAAACTTTATAAGAGTGTTGTGTGTTATAGCATGCCCTCAAATCTGAGATCATTGTGTTGGCATAAATTTTCCTAGCTCTGATTCATGTGTAGTTGGCATATGCTGGTCTAAGTAGGTCATGGTTGTTTGATAGAAATAAACATCCTTTTCTCTGGATTTGTCTTTAATGGTCTACTATAAAAAAAACAACAAAAGAAAACATTGTGTATTAATCATTAGTGTTTGGAATTGTAGTCAAAAGTATGTAAGAATAAGTTGTGTATTGTCATTATACATTTCATGGGGCTTAGTTGATTTTTCAAGGGGTAACAAGATTTTTCTTTTTTAAGTAACGACTGCAAAGTTAAACTTAAGGAACAGAAAGTGCTTTAGGGGAGGATTTTTATCCTCTCAACTAAAGCATTTTTTCTTGAGCACTGCCTAACAGTAATGGACACTCAAGTGTTGACCAACTGATCTGTCTAATATTTGTTTTTGGTTCAGGGAATTCAAATGAGTGTCTCCAGAATAGTGGCTTTGAATACACCATTTGCTTTCTGCCTCCACTTGTGCTGAACTTTGAGCTGCCACCAGATTATCCATCCTCCTCCCCACCTTCCTTCACACTCAGTGGCAAATGGCTGTCACCAACTCAGGTTAGACCTGACGCTTAATTTCTTCTATCCATTTTTAGAAACTTAAAAAATCATCTTTAGTGGAAAACTACCTTTGATGATCTTGAATTCAGTAAATGAAGAACAAATGGCTTTGATTTCGTTATTTTTTTTCCTTGCATTCATGAATCCTAATGTTAATGAATTGAAAATACTTTGGTGTTTTAGAATGGAATAGAAGTAATTAAAGCTATTAATCATCATGGTTTACAGGAGGAATAATTTTTAATCAAGTACATTGTTTCTGTTTTCCCATTTTAATCTGTGTTGTAATGAAGACGTGAGATCCTCCTCATTTTCCTCAGGTTTTGGTATTCCTTTTTTTCCCTCAGTTTCTTATTCATTCCTTAAATGAAAAGATTTAATTGTAATTAGGAGGGCTGTAAATTAAGCTAATGCAGTTATAACAAACAAATTTTCTAAGTAAACATAGTTTTATTTTTAAAGATCTGTATATTAATAACAAATCATTGTGCACTGGTCTCACATAGATCTAAATGCACAGAAATGGGAATGTGTCCAGTTCCTGTGGATAATCTCATTAAGGCCAGAGCCATATTACAAGCCTTCATTTCCTCTAGGTTACGTATCCTTTTCAAGTAACAACTTCAACTCTTGATTGGAACATAAGTATGACTCGAAGCTAATATAAAGTATTCTGGGTTAATGGATCCATAACAGCTACTTTTCTAGAAGTCATGATGAAGATTGATAGACTGATGTATATTAAGACAAAAACTGTCAGAGTTACTGACCTGAAGGAACAGCCTGTCAGTTTTTCCTTTTTGATCATGTAGTTTTCATTCCCCTACTCACCAGTCACATCTTTTAGAGGAGACTGCCTTTGCATAATTGAGCTAATGGTTTAATAACAAAATCAAACTTTAAAAATGATAATACATGTAGAATAAAAAGAAATATTACTTTATATTCTAATATCTGTGCCAGAAGCGATAGAGGAGAAGATAGTGGATTATTTGCCCAAGAATATCAAGGCTGTTTGATGTTTAGATCACTGAGAGTTGACTGAATTATTTAGATATTTATAGCCACATTTCTTTAGAGAGGTCTTGATGCTTTATACTCATCCACATGCGCGTGCGCGCGTGCACACACACACACACACACACGCACACACACATACATACACACAAGGATGAATTAACTGAGTATGTGGTTGCAGTTTCAGATTCCAGCCAAATAGTGTCTACTTAATGCCGGCTTTTGGTGGGGGGAGAAGAGCTGTTTATTATTTTATGTTTTACAGCTAAAATTATAGTAGGATTCTTTATCAAATTTTTGTGCGTTTAATTGACATTTTAATTAGTCTGTGTCCCTTGGTTCAGTTTTTGCTCTTTACTGGGCCCTGATTCATTAACATAAATCAGACCTGTTGATAGTGAAGTTGACACATGGACCTGCCATTCACTGAATTGGAGTGGGTGGGTGGAGGGCAGTGGGTTTAGTCTTCTAGTATTTTCCATTATCACCCCGCCATACACATACACACAGTCTGTTTATCTCTTGCTCTCTTTTCTTCTCTCTGTCTCTTCCCTTACATGCATGTGCACCCCTTTTGAGAAGGGGCTGGAGAAGAAATGAGGATGGAAGAGAATGGTTTCTTCATTGGACTTTGTAGTTAACACAACACTGAGAGCTTCCCTTTTAGTACATATTACATTTTACAGATTTCAGCAGGGTTTCTCAAAAACAAGGTTGATCTTATAGGCATATTCATGCAAATGTGAAAAAGCGCTAGTTGTCTAACCTTGAGCTTTTCCCTAAGTGTTTGAGTGCTCTGCAGGGCTTAGTGAAGAGCACTACGTAGAGCAAGAACAGAAAATGTGGTCCTTTTTCACTTGTTATTTCCATTTATTTTTATTTTTAGATGTTTACCTAAAAATAAAAGTTGCTTATAATTCCTGAGGTCTACTTACAAACATTTTACATATCTAATGGAAAAGCCTCTTATGTATGCCTTTCAAATTGAACAGACCACTTTTAAGGAGGTAAAGTCTAAATAGTACAAACTTTGGTTGCTTAGCTTGGGAAATGTGAGCTTTCCCTATGGCAGCCAAACCATGTTGAGGGTGTGTAATTATGTCCAGGTACAATATCAGTCTGCTTCCTTCCATTAACCAAGATCAGATGTAAGCCCAGATTACTTAGTTAAAACGAGTTTGTAAATCTGAATAACAAGGACTCTGAGCTGAATTCCGTTAGTGATTCTTTCATATGAGTTGGCTTTTTGATAGGACTGAAAGTTAGAATTAACTTAAAAACTTGGTTCATATTTTTAAATTGTTCTCTTTCTAACCATTATTCCATGACACCTACAAGGCTAGGACTCCAAAGAAAAAGAAAAAGTTCATTTTCGAACTGGATCTCTTTCTTCTACATGAGATATATAGCAATCTTAGAATACAGAAATACAAGTGGATGGCTTTAACAAAGAGAAATTTATTCTCTCACAGTTTAGAAGGCTACAAGTCCCAATTCAGGGTGCCATCTCTAGGGGAAGGTTTTCTGTCTCTGTGGGTTCTGGAGGAAGGTCCTTGTCATCTACCTTCTCCTGGTCTAGGGGCTTCTCAGCACAGGAACCTCGAGTCCAAATGACATGCTCTGCTCCTGATGCTTTCTTGGTGGTATGAGGTCCCCGCCTCTCTCCTCACTTCTCTCTTTTATATCTCAAAAGAGATTGATTTAAAACACAACCTAGATTGAGTCCTGCCTCATTAACATAACTGCCTCTAATCCTGCCTCATTAACATCGTGGAGGTAGGATTTACAACACATAGGAAAATCACATCAGGTGACAAAATGGTGGACAATAAATACAATCCTGGGAATCATGGCCTAGCCAAGTTGACGCACATTTTTTGGGGACACAATTCGATCCATAATAGCGGCGCTAAATAATTTCAGTTCTCCATCTTCACCTATGGAATCTTGCCATTCCTCTTGTTTTCCTGGCCCTTCTAGCTTGTGAGTTTGCGTTCTGCTCTGGTTCATGTTGCTACATAGGTTAACAACTGCTCTGATAAGAATGTTGGTGCCGTTTTGCAGCACAGTTTACAGCAGCAGTAAAAAGTAGTGTAAGGAAGTATAACGGCCTAACTTACAAGGTAAAAAGTTTTAAAGGGAAATCAGGAGTCAGCATCATCATCTTTACTTTCCCAACTCACCAGCATCCTCATTTGTTTTCTCCTAGCTGTCTGCTCTGTGCAAACACTTGGACAATCTGTGGGAAGAACACCGTGGCAGCGTGGTCCTGTTTGCCTGGATGCAGTTTCTTAAGGAAGAGACCCTAGCGTACCTGAATATTGTCTCTCCTTTTGAGCTCAAGATGGGTTCTCAAGGAAAAGTGCAGAGAAGGGCAGCGCAAGCCTTACCCAACACGGAGCTAGATTTTAGAGGAGCTGCTGTATCTGATGTAGACCAAGAGGAAGTTGTGGATGAGAGAGCCGTGCAGGATGTGGAATCATTGTCAAGTCTGATCCAGGAAATCTTGGACTTTGATCAGGCTCAGCAGAAAAAATGCTTTAACAGTAAATTGTTCCTGTGCAATATCTGTTTCTGTGACAAGCTGGGTAGTGAATGCATGTACTTCTTGGAGTGCAGGCATGTGTACTGCAAAGCCTGTCTGAAGGACTACTTTGAAATCCAGATCAGAGACGGCCAAGTTCAGTGCCTCAACTGCCCAGAACCAAAGTGCCCTTCGGTGGCCACCCCTGGTCAGGTAACTGCTTACTCTGCTGGCAGCTGCCTCCTACTTCTCTTGCACAGAGGGGCAGTCTTCTCAGAGGCTTCATTGATAGGGCTTATAAGGGCAGACTGAGGCTGTGGAGCCAGCCCACAAGTTGTTTCACTGTATCTGTCAAGAATCCTGGGGTTCATTTAAGCAAATGTAAATGCTTCCTTTGCTGACCTTAGAATGAGCGGTCATAGGCAGGGATGAGTGTTAAATAATTCTGGTTATTTATTTTGTATATCTGCTAGGACCCCATCAACCTTGGGGAAGCAGTAGCCTGTTTTGTATGTGATTGGGATCTGCAGGGGACATCCCTTGGAGTGGTTCATTGAGTCATTTACAGACTTTAAGATTAGGACAGGCTACCTGGTTTGGTTTTTTTTTAAACCAACTTTATTAAGACATAATTAGAATAAACTGTACCCATTTAAAGTATACGGTTTGCTTAGTTTTAACAAATGTGTAGACCCTCGTAACCACCACTTCAGTCAAAATATAGACTGTTTCCATACTTGATTTGATTTTGAAGTGAGACAGGGTTTTCATTTATATGCCCATCTGGTTTGCACCAGCATCCCAAGGATCTCCTAAGGATCAGAACTGGTTGGGGAATCGTCAAACCTATGGTGTTTTGTATTTCCCTCCAGGTCAAAGAGCTAGTAGAAGCAGAGTTATTTGCCCGTTATGACCGCCTTCTCCTCCAGTCCACCTTGGACCTGATGGCAGATGTGGTCTACTGCCCCCGCCCATGCTGCCAGCTGCCTGTAATGCAGGAGCCTGGCTGCACCATGGGCATCTGCTCCAGCTGCAATTTTGCCTTCTGTACCTTGTGCAGATTGACCTACCATGGGGTCTCTCCCTGTAAGGTGACAGCAGGTAAGTTGTAACCAAGTGAACTGAATTCCCTTCTCTTCTCCCTCTCCAACTCTCACCCTCCCAAGAAAACCTTCTCATTTCAGTTTGGAAGTATTCATTCAACAAACATTTTTGGAACAATTACTGTCCTAGGCACTGGGGATACAGTAGTGACCAAAAGAGACAAAACCTCTGCCTTCATAGAACTTACATTCTAGTGACAGAGACAGGCAAACAAAATAAATAAGGATATTAGGTGGTGGTAAGTACTAAGTGGAGCCCTGGTGGAGCGGTGGTTAAAAGCTTGGCTGCTAACCAAAAGTTTGGCAGTTTGAATTCACCAGCTGCTCCTTGGAAACCATACGGGGCAGTTCTGCCCTGTCCCATGGGGTTGCTATGAGTTGGCATTGACTGGATGGCAATGGGTTTGGTTTTGGTTTGAAGTACTAAGGAGGAAATAAATAAAGCAAGGACAGGATATGAAATGTTCTGAGTGGGAGGGGGTTTGCGATTTTAGTTAGGAAAGCAAGGGGAGGCCTTACTGCCAAGGTGGTTTGAGTAAAGACTTGATGGCAGTAAGGAAACAAGCCATGCAGATATCAGGGGGAACATTCCAGGAGAAGGAACAGCAAGGTATTTTTTACCTGTGAACGTGGAATAATGTAGATCCTGGGGGGCACATGCAGAGCATCTAAGCTGCCACTCTTGTTTCCATGGCACATGTGTCTGACCAGTCATCGAGTGCTCTCTCACTGAGCCTTTGAAGGCCTCAGAATCTTCCTCAACATAGCGCTTCAGAAACTCGCCATCTGTTGAAGTAGGCACAGGAGGTGAAACCTATTTGCCATTTATGATCTAGATAAGGATTGGGAAATCAGGCCCTGACATTGACTTTGGCCCAGTTTGGCTTAGTGTCTCTCTTTCATACGTAACAGTGATGATAATAATAATAGCTACTTCATAGATTATTGTGAGGATGAATGAACCGATGTAGTACCACTCAAAGTTGTTAAATTTGTTTTCCCGATCGATGATGAGATAAGTATAGAAAATGACCATCAGGATTAGAAACTTTTATAGCAGTTTGACAGAGTAATTTTATGTAAGTCAAATCTAATTATAAAAATTTAGGCTGATATTTTTTGTCTTTTTATTTAATTTGTCCAATAATTCATTATTATTGTAATTTACAAAAGTATTGGTCCGTGACAGGCTGGGGTGGGGGGAAACTGGTCCTTCGCTGTAAATAGTTTGAGAAACAACGACCTAATACATGTAAAATGCAAAGTGCAAAATACAAAGTGTTAATTATTAATGCTATTGTTACTAAGTTACTAATTGCTACTGTTAGCAGAGCGTCATTATCTCCGAGAGAGTACCCTAAGAGGAGGGAGTGAGTAGACATTCCAGTTGTCCACAGCAGAGTCTTGTTGTGGGCAGGGGCAGCTGGGATGGAGAACTCACCTAAGTGTAATACAGACCTTTACTTTAGACTTCAGTAATCTTATCAGTGAGAGGCTAAAATACATTTGAAGTGTTTCACAGCATTCAGGGCCTTCAACAAACAAATTAAGAAGATATACACATACAGTATGACTATATAAAATATATGAATTACTAACAATTTTATTTTTTTGAGACTATTAGAGCAATAACCTTTTGTGCTTAAGATGTCTAGGAACACAAAAATGCTTTGAATGATTAGAGGGATAAAAATGACAGGATGAGGTCAATCCTGAATCCCTAAGCATCAATTAAAGAGATAAAGAACTCAGCCAAACACCTCATGGAATAAGAAACTGACCAAGAACAGAGAGCGAGGAGAGATACATGCAGAGATCCCCTATCAGCTACTGCAACACGTATCTGCCATCTTGGACTCTTATCGGAGATCAGCGAATGGGGGTATGAGAAAGCAGCTTCATAGAGCTTCCAGCAGGAGACAAAACAACCAGTAACTGGTGATATAGGCTTTTCCGCTCCCCCCATCCTTTTTCACCCCCATTTAGCCTCCTCTGCTTCCTGCAGCCACAGTCTCTTGGCCGGGAAGCACCAGCTTCACCCTGGTGTCACTTGGATTCCACCTGCCCGCACTGGCCGGCTCCCTGAGTGCCTTTTGTTGGCTGCTGGTGTTGTTTTTTTCCAGTTCTTTAGATTTCTTCCTTACCTCTCACCACCTCCCCTCCTTTCTCTCAAATACCTGGCTCTGTGCGCCATCTTTGCTTCTTCCTGAAAGGCTGTGAAACACCAGTTGACTGAAACTGCTTCCCAGCCTGTGCCACCAAGCTGGTGGGGCCCCCGGGGCTTTTTTGTTTGTTTGTTTCCTCTGATTTGTTCTGTTTTGATTTGTTTGTTTGTTTTCTTTTTCTTTTCTTAGCTTGGGAGCCCCTTCTAGCCGGGCAGTACCATGCAGCCTAGAAGTGACTCCCTTACTCTGCGCAGACACACAGGGACATCCCTGGGGGCATTTCTTTTTTCTTGTTTGGTTTTTTTTTTTTTCCTTTCTGGGTTTTTGGGTTTTTTTTTTGTTTCTTTATTTTGTTTTCTTCTCTCTCTTATTCCCTTTTTGTCTTTTTTCACTTCCAGTTTCTCGATTTATTCACTTTTTTTCTTTTACCCTTTTTCTTTTTTTTTTCATTTTTACTTTTCCCCATTTCTCAGTCTCTCATCTCTCCACTCCAATAGCAAGCTCCCTTAGCACTCTTTTTTGTTTGTGTGTATGTTTTTGGCTCCTGCTTCTCTCTCCTCTCTCTCATCTTTCCCATACCCATCTTAGCTCCACACATCACAATCTACCTCCTCCTTCCTGCCTACCTGCACTGTGAACTGAACATCACACTCCCAAGCAGCACAGGCATGGCCTACTGGAACCTGCCCTGCACTGATCACCGGTTTGCACTGTCAGCCCTGGTACATGCCACAAACAGCCCATCCCAGGAACTCCCCTTCAGCTGGACCTGCCCTGCTGTAC